ACTGTGGCACCCATGCATCCATGCACCCATCCACCATAGCACCCAGGCACCGCGGCACCCATGTACCATGCACCGTGGCACCCATGCACTACGGAACCCACGCACCGTGGCACCAGGGCACCCATGCACCATGGCACCCATGCACCATGGCACTCACGCACCATGCACCCATGCACTGTGGCACCCATGCATCCATCCACCATAGCACCCAGGCACCCATGTACCATGCACCGTGGCACCCATGCACTACGGAACCCACGCCCTGTGGCACCATAGCACCCATGCACCACGGCACCCACGCACCATGGCACCCATGCACCATGCACCCATCCACCATAGCACCCAGGTACCGCGGCACCCATGTACCATGCACTATGGCACCCATGCCCTGTGGCACCATAGCACCCATGCACCRTGGCACCAGGGCACCCATGCACCGTGGCACCCACCTCGCTCGTCCAGCAGCAGGTTCTCGGGCTTGAGGTCGCGGTGCGTGATGCCCAGGCCGTGCAGGTAGAGCTGGGGGGCGAGGGCGCGTGGGCGGCGGCACGGGGGTGCATTGGGGGGCACCCCACGCCGCGCGCCCCACTCACCACGCCGGCCACCAGCTGCTGGAAGAAGCGCTGCGCCTCCGCCTCGGGCATGCCCACGTCGGGCTCTGCGGCACCTCAGCGTTAGGCTGAGCTTTGGCAACACCCGGATCGCCCAAACCCACRCGGCGGCTTAAGCACCGATTTGGGGCGAAATCACGCCAAAGTGGAGCGCGTACCGATGCGGTCGAAGAGCTCGCCGCCGCTGCAGTACTCGAGGAAGAGGTAGTGCGTGGCGCCCTCGCGGCGGTGCCCGTAGAAGCGCACCACGTTCTCGTGGTTGAGCATCTTGTGGATGCAGATCTCCTTCTTGACGCTCTCGGGGCACTCGGCGGCGCGCTTCATGTCCACGATCTTCACGGCCACGGCCTCCTCCGTGCGGCGGTTGACGGCCAGCTGCACCCTTGGGTGGC